TGATTCCAAGGTAAACATTTTGTTTGGTCCTATCCTTCTTTAGTGTTGAGTCACAGACTGAATTCCATATCTTAGATGGGGAGGTCCACACAGATTCCTCCCTATTACACAAGTATGCTGTATCCCTCCATGGGTATGGAGATCACAGCAAGAGAAGTTGTGCATAGTAGAGACAGAGTCTCTGTATCCCTGAATATGGGAGAGAGTTCTGTACTTATTAGCAATAGGTTGATCCAGAAAAATGCGCAGGGTGTAGAGGCTTTACACTCAGTGGATCAGTAAGGGAGAAGCACTGTGTGGAAACTGTAGAGTAGGAGTAGTCCACGACTAGGTAAATGGGTTCCATTTCTCGCCACTATTTAGTTTCCTATATAAAGATTGTGAAGAAGTCTGTAAAAAAACTTGTGGAGGGCACCCACCCAGAAAACACATTGACCATTCTTTCCTTTGAGGAACATTAAAAGCTGTATTTAGTGTGGGGAATATGTTTTGGTTTGTTATATGTATGGTTCTGGTAATAGAAAGCTTTGGCTGTTGTAGAAAGTTACCTTACTTTGTTTCAACTTCACCCTTCATCTAGTACACTCAGTAGTTCCATACTCTTCTTACTCTATCTTGCCAGCAATTTAATTGGTAAGACCTCAGGAAGCTTTATGGTAAATGCTTCTGAGAGATGTCCAGTGAAAAATGACTTGACACCTTATATAAATCACTTCAACTGCAATTCTGAGTTAACACGCAGGCATTCAGCTGGAAGGAAACAGTATTTATCATTTTTGTTACAGTCTTTCTTTGTAAAAAAAAATGCCTTGAGAGGGCATATTTTGATTAAAATATTTTATTTGAAATATGGAAGCATAATTCTCATCTCACAGTGCCTGGCTTGTTTCATAAATGAAATCTCAGTGACAGGCACAACCAAACCAAGCATAGTTCAACTTTCTGGACTTTGCCTTCCATCCATCTACCCCTTTGGGAAATTTCATTAGAGTTAGGAGATGCTTAGTGGGTTTGGTCAGTTTTTCTACTTTGGTTTCAACTCACAAACCCTACATTTCATTTCAAGTTTTAGCATCAAATGCTCTCAAAATGCTTACCTTTTATTTGTTCTTAACACACAGCCAGAAGTGTGTGTGGGTTTACCTATACTATAGCCCCTTTGCTGGGAAGTGAGTGATTTTTTTTTCACCAGTCTCCTATGGTCCCTTTGTGCTGGCTCTACTGGAGTAAAAAAGGCATAAATCCTCCAGGTGTTTCCCTCCATTTAAAATACCTCCTGTAGGCAAAAGAGGATACTATCTGCATACTCCAGGGAGATAATGAATAGTACTGGGAGAGCGGAGTGAAGTGCATACGTATTACAGACTGTCCCAAAATTGTATGGCCAGCATTTTCAAAGCAAACTTTTACATGTAGCCAAACCATCGACACAGACAGCCTGTGTCATGAGGCCTGCCCCTCTCACCTCAAAATTATTACATTTTTAAACAAAGTATGAGCAGTATCTGTCTACTAGTTAATGCTTCCCCTAGTAAGTGTGGGTCAGGATGAGAACCCAGCTCTTGTTGCTTCCCAGGACAGAGAGCTAACAGAAACCAGGCAGGAAAATATAGCAGGCCTTTCTCATGTCCTTGTGACAAGGCATTTAGTAGAATTTACAGATTCATTGGAGTCTGACAGGCTGCGCCTTGAGCACTTCTGCTACAGGCTCAAACTTGAGACCTTTGAGCTGTCAACTGTGTGTCTTGGCACCTGTGCTACCCTTGCCCCCACAGTAGGCCTGAAATAAAGGGGCTGCAGCTGGCAGGAGTCAGCTACAAAAATGACCTGCTCAGACCTACAGGTCATTGTTCATCCCTTTATTAAAGGGGCCAGCCCTCTGTATTCTCCTTTTCCCTTTTGTATGTTCTCTTGGTTCAGCCTGCTATTTAACAGCTTAGGTTTTATGGGTCTGTTTGTCCAAAGTGCTGAGTACCCACAGTTCTAAATGCAGTGAATAAGCGATGTGCATGTTCAACTTCTTCATGTATTTTATTTCTTCTGGTATTACTTAAGGGCGGGGAGAGACCCATAAAGGACACAAAAAAAGAGCTTTGATTTGTGCCCTTTTGTGATTGTTTAATTATAAAGAAAGCCAAAAAGGATTTGGTTTAAAAGTATTATTGCTTGTATTTTAGCCTTGTAAGTATCTAAAATGTCAAGTGTATCTTGGTCATTTTTATGTACGTTGCTAGCTCTCTCAGCTCTGTGCTATGCTGATAATTTAAACTAATATTGAGTTGCTGGATTTTTAAAGGGGGTAACATAGGTGTGAACAAAAACAAATGTTTTACAAGAGTCAAACTAAAAATGACTTCCCCTCTCAGTGAATCAGGTTTCAATTGCTTGCTGTTTCTGGTGCCATAGCACTTCAAGTTCTTCAGATGTATACAGAGCATTCAAACACATACACATACTCTCTCTGGACCTCACTTTGCAATGTGAAGACCATGATGAAAAAAAGTAGTTTCAGGAGGTCTTTACACATTAAAAAAAAGCACTGATCCATTTATTTCCCTTGAAGCTCACCTTTATAGTACTAAATAGCCCTCCCAATAAAAATAAATCTGCATCATGAGACTTGGAAAAGCAACAACAGTATATATCAAAAAAGCACTATCTAGCCAATAGAGGAACAGTCTCTAAAAAAAAACTGCGATATGTCCCAACTCTATGGGTAAGGTCCACCGGTCATCTTTGACAGCTGCTCTCCGGACAACTGTATAATCAACCCTTTTAGTCACCTTCCAACTGGGTTTTCAGGGGCTTGAGTATGGAAAAAGAGTCTTTTAAACCAGTGGTTCTCAATCTTTTTTTTTTTACCAGGACCCATTTGTAAACATCAATGGCTAGTCCTGACCCA